AAAAAAAAAAAGAAACTAAGTTTCCAAGTCCAAAGATAGACAATCCTAGAGAAAGGCCACCGACCTAGCCTAGACTCCTGGCTACCCCTGAAACATTCATCATGTGAAAAAGCAACTTCCATTTTGTTTAAGCCTCTATTTTGGAGGTCTTTGATAGCAGCTTAGCTTTTACCCAAACCAAGATAGACCCTTTCTAATGTTCCCTCCTGGACAACTCCCTGTCATACCAGAACTCAAAGCCAGGCTTCTGTGTGCCTGAGTATAAAAGAAAGCAGGCTCCTACCCTGCCACCTTATGGCTCTGATGCTCTGCTCTGCCTGATACCAGGAGGCCTCCAGGACTAATGAACATGAAGGAAATCTTGTTGAAGAGTAGCCCATCAAGTCTTAACTCATGTGTGACACAGTCTGTCACTGTTTATAATTTAACCAAAACAGCCTCCTAAGAGAAGGCTCGGGGAGAACTTCAGGAGGGATTTTATAGATAAGAAGCAGGCCCTGCCACAGACTATACTAATTCCAATAGCAAGTTCACAAGGCCATGCAGTACTGCTGAGAAGAGGCAGTTAGAAAGGTATAAAACAAGTATCTGGGCTCGGCGCCTGTGGCTCAAGTGGCTAAGGTGCCAGCCACAAACACCTAAGGTGGCGGGTTCGAATCCCCAGCCCGGGCCTGCCAAACAACAATGACGGCTGCAACCAAAAAATAGCCTGGCGTTGTGGCAGGCACCTGTGGTCCCAGCTACTTGGGAGGCTGAGGCAGGAGACTTGCTTGAGCCCAGGAGTTGGAGGTTGCTCTGAGCCGTGAAGCCATGGCACTCTACCCAGGGGGACAGCTTGAGGCTCTGTCTCAAAAAAAACAAACAAAAAAAAACAAGTATCTGATAGGAGCCAGGACTAGGATTCTAGCCCAAGCTCCACCCTGGAAATCATGAAAGAGTATCTGCTCCACTCAAGGCCCCACTGCCGTATTTGGTAAAGTAGGAGTAGATTATAAAAGGCAACACACCCAGTAAGAGCCACTCTTCTTCATTAGACCTTACATGAACTTGGGTCATCTAACACGTAGAATGCAACCACAGAAGGGAATTCGTGCTTAATTTCACTCCTCAGACTTCAGGCCATTAAAAGCCAGAAGTCAGCTCCAAAAGGCCTACAACTTATCTGTATCCACAAACCATCAAGAAACATATTTACTGAGCAACCACTATACTAGAAATAGTCTCAAAATAATACCTTTTGTTTACCAATCAAGAATGTTTAGAATAAAAGTATGAACAACCTGCAACATATATATACCATGTGATTCAGCTTTAAAAAGGACATTCTGACACATGATACAGCACGGATGAACCTTAAGGACATTATGCAAAGTGAAATAAGCCAGTCACAAGCAGCTAAGTGCTATATGACTTCACTTACATGAAGTATCTAGAGAAGTTAAATTCATAGAGACAGAAAGTAGAACAGCAGTTGCCAGAGGCTGGGGTGACAGGGATATGGGGAGTTAATAGGTACAGAGTTTCTGTTTTATAAGATGAAGAATTTGGAGATTGGTTGTGCAACAATGTGAATGACTTTATAGTACAGAGATACATGCTTAAAAATGGTTAAAATGGTAAGTTTTATTATGTAAATATTACCACACTTAAAAACAAATAAAAAACCATTAACTGCATACCAAAAGAAAAAACAAACCAAACTAGATATACCCTGTCTTGATCACGGTAGTGGCTGCATGGGTGCAGATATATGGCAAAACTCAACAAACTCTTAAAATAGATGAACTTAATTATGTGCAAAATATTCCTCAATAAAGTTCATTTTTTTACAAGTAGAATGTTTCTGGTGTAACTGAGAATTTCTATAAAGGTCTCAATCTCAGTCTCACAATTAATTTCATGACTTTCCAATTTCTCAAATTTATCCTGCCCCCAGACCAGGCCAACCAGACCCCTTCCCATAGCACCATCCACACTTACTGCAAGATGCTCATCTTGAGCTGTAGGCCGTGCAGAACCTCGATCACTCTCTGCACATCACCAAGAAGCTGGTGAGTCGCCACAATCTTCTTAGCATTCTGATGGGAGTAATTCTCCTCTAGAAATGTCAGGCCATGCATATGTCCCCTGCTCAACCACTCCTTGTCATACCAGTACTTGAAACCAGGCCTCTGACCTAAACCAGTGACAATGACAGGGTTACAATGAGTCCTGAAAGAATCACTATTCACGATTATCAAACTACTGGAAGGATAGATAAGTGTGTTCACTTTGTTCATTTATTCATCCAGTGTACATTTACTTTTCACCTATTATATTCTGGGCTCTCTAGTAGGTGCTGGAGACATAGCAATGAGAAGACATGTACACTTCCTGATCTCCTGGAACTGGCCAGAGGTGGGGTGGGAACCTGGATTATTTCTACATGTAAATAGTATCATTCCTCCCTTACTTACCTTCCACTGCCTCCTATTATTCACTGAAGCAAGCCCAGAGCCCCATCCCTGCCTTGGTGAGGCCCACAGGACCCAGCTCCTTCCTGCCCTCCTCTTCCCTTACAGGGGGCCTCCCTTCAGTTTCTAGAAGATATTAAACTCTTGCTCTAGCAGCACCCTACGGTATGGAACCCTACTCCTCAAGGTCTTTGTAGGGTTGGCTCCTTCTCAGGGAGGCCTTACCACCTCCCAAAGTTCATAGAGCCTTGTCAGGGCCTCCTACACATTCCTAAACTTATTTCTCCCTCTCACAGCTTTCTTCACTATCTAACACAGCCTGATTATTTGAACTTATTTTAACATCTGTTTCTGACCCAGCCTGGCCTTCCTATCTATCTCCATGTCAGGCAAAAGCTATCTTCAGTGGATTTACCAATGAATGGAAAGAAGGTACAAGTGTACCATCCCTACAGATGATCAGGTCCCCTTAACTGGATGGCTTCAGTGGTCCTGTTCATTACAGGGTCCCTCAGGAACTACTGAAAATATAAGCACATATGACTCAGAAATACTCTTTGCTCTCAAACCCCAGAGAACAGGTTTCAACAGACTGTTGTTTACCTGTCATTATCTATAAAAACCCTGAAAAACCCAAGTAATCCCTATCAAGGTCTTTGGGCCCTTTCTAGCTTTACTAATGTATATGGTAGGGATATGCCTTAATCCTATTGAAAACATGTTTAAGTAACCTTTAAAAAGACCCTGTTGGGCTAATCTTTTGGCCCAACCCACTGCAGAGTCAAACCATCTATAAATGCAGACCCTGCAACACATTCAGTGCCCAGTTCAAGGAAGAGTCTATTTGCAGTCTTGGCAATTAAAGTTACAGAAGTTCAAACGTACACAGGATTGGATGAGGATGGTGTGTGTGATCTCTAAAGAGAGAAATGTGGAAAGAAAGACATGGTGGACAAAAAAGATTTTTAAAAGATACCCTAAAGAGCCCTCAATATTATGTGAGGGAACCTCAGAGGCAGCTGCTGCAGGTAGTGGCCTGCACAACAGGATTCAAAGCAGTACTTTTTATTTCACAAGACAAAGGTAAATGACAATGGTCCTCTTCACTTGTCTGGTATTAACTGATGGAATGATCTTGAGCAAGTCATGTGCCTTCTGGGCCTGTGTCTGCTCACCTGTCTGATCTTCTGGCTACATTCTCTCCTTGGGATAAAGGCATAAACAGAGGCTGATTCTTCTCTGCCTATTGACTAATCTAGTACATGGAGATATCATTTACAAAAGAGGTCATCAGGCCCCAGCAGGACCTGCTTGACGGAAAATGATATGATCGGCTC